GGAGGTCCTGCTGGAAATGGTGGTCTGCCTGAGTGACTTTTGCCTTCTAGAGGAGGTGGGCATCCAAATTCATGTGGCTTACAGGGATGACGGTGACCTCTAGGTCCACCAGGCTTAAATGGAGGCCTGTCAGCAGGAGGATGTTCATGCTCACCAGAGTGGAGGGGATGGCCCAAATGATGCCACACACCACTGATGTCTCTATGCTCCTGGTGAAGGACACAATAAAGTGTATATCGTCATGTAACACAAAAGAAGTTAGATGTTTAATTTAGACCAATGGCTCCCACACTTTTAAATTCTACAATTACTTTTAAAAGTAGGATACCAAAAAAGGGTTTCTCAAATTCTTATCTAGCCAAGTTGGCATTTTAAATACAAACAAAACTATTATCTGCCACCATCATTATTTCACAATAGGAATAATATCTTGGTAACCGAAGAGTCAGAAAGGTAATCTCAGATTCAAGGATGGTCCTTTCGATGGAATAAATGTCATCTTCTTCTTCTTCTTCTCATTTCAACATAAACTGGTGAAATTATACTATAGAATGGTACTCATCTGTGGACCAACATTTGGGAAACTAGTGCTTTATAATTTATATTCTCAAGAGAGTTGAGGCTTTATGGTAGAAAGATCTCTTTCTAAAGGATAAGCATGTCACCTCTTCTTATTTCTCCTTGTTTAGATTTTAATTTTAAAGAAATTTATGGAACCATGTTCAAACTGTTCTCTTCCTTTTTTTTTTTTGGTTTGGTACATGGACATTTGGATCATGGTCAGTTTTTGTTTGTTTGTTCTTTTTGTTGATATCAAAAATACTGTGAGAGGGAGGTATAGCTCAGTGATAGAGTGATGCCTAGCAGGCATGAGGTCCTGGATTCAATCCCCAGCACCTCCATTAAATACATAAATAATTAACAAACAAACAAACCTAAGTACCACCCCCTCAACCAAAAAATAAAACAAAACAAAAGCAAAATTCCGTGAAGGATATCTTGGTTTAGAATAAAGCTGTCTGGGACCTATGTAAAATACTGTTTTGAATCTTATTTCATATACCTTTATATAGTAGGTTTTAAGCTCATTCATTCTTCTTAGGTTCTATGCCTATTAATAAAAGCCAGAAATTATTAAGAGTCAGTCCTGGAGTCCTGACTCCAAGGCCACTTTCAAGTTCATTAAAGGCTGCTTGAATTGGTTATGATTTTACTTTTCTGGCAAATATTATCCCTCCCCAATTCTTAGAAAAATTTCATTCTTTTTGTGTCATACCAGCACCTGTACTTTCCCCTGGGGCCTATTCCCTCTGTATCTCTCCTCCCCATCATCCTTCATCTCTCTCTCTCTCTCACACACACATACATACTACACACAAAGAGCCGTAAGAACCAAATATACTATATGTGTGAAAACAGCACTTAATTTGGCATTGCTCATGACAAAGGCTACTTAGGTGCCCACCTTAGGGTTGAAGACTTCACAGTTTATGACAATGTTTTGGGGTGCCAAGTCAAAGGCTTCTGCGTCATAGGATAAATGTGCTCTGCAGAATCCAAAGACCTACAAAGAAGACAGAAACCTGCTAGTGTCTCTGTGTGTGTATATGAGCATGTGTGTGCAGGTGGTATGAAGATGCCCAGTTCTTGTCTTGAACTTCCAGACATTTGGGAGAGGAAGACAGGCTTTAGAAAAATCTGGGTAATATTATCAAATCTCCCCATCAGCTATTTAACCATCTTTCCTAGTCAACACTTTGGGGAAACCGCAGGTTCCAGTGGGTTTCATTCCCAGTTGCTGTGGTCTGCCATGAATGGTCTCCAGTGCTGGGCTCCCCCAGGGGCTGTGGGAGGAGCACCATGTCATTGATGCCTTGCCTCCAGGCCAGCCTTCAACTTGAAGACCTGAGTTGCCTGGGCCTAGAGAGAGTGAAGAGTGATGGAGAAGAAGGATTTGCACAACTTCATCTGGCTTCTTGGAGGAAAGTGCTGGAAAGGAAGGAGCCGGTACAAATGTGAGGTTGCACAGACCCTGTCAGAGTGACGGTCTGCTGACCCTACCCTGAGTTCCAAAGCTACAAGTGGCTGGCACACCTATGTCCCAGAGGCCCCTACACTCAGCTGTCAAAGTTAGACTAGGACCAGAAGAAAACTCCTTCTTAAAAGAGACTTTTAAGCACTGAGATTCTGAGTACAGTTTTGGAATCGGACAGACCTATGTTAATCCTGGCTTCACCGTTTACTAGTTGCGAGTTTAAGGGAGTTACATAAAATCTCTGAAACTTAGTCTTTGTAAAACACTCGTTATATCATACTAATTACCCACAGGCTGCGAGAGGCTTAATTAAGTGAGATGATGCTGGAGAACACTTAGGCCCGAGCTCCTCGTCTCCAGCCGCCATGTTTCCGCGCGAGTTCACATTCCCCACACCAAGAAAGGGGCTTGTGGGGATGGGAGTTGGGGAGGAGGTGTCTTTTCTGGTAGCTACTCAGCAGGACTCTAGAACTGTTTCAGGCTGAAAAGTTGAAGAGCCAGAAAAGGAACTGATGACTGCCTCCTTTCTTTCAGTCCTGTAGAATGTTACCAAACCTCAGAAAAATCCTGGACTTGAAATCAGAAGCCACCATTCAAATCCTGTGTCCTAATACTTTCCAGCTAAGTGCCTTTAGGTAAGTGTTTAAATTTCTAGGCCCTTCTGTCCCAGGGAAACGGAGGCAGACACTAGCTTCTCCTCAGAGGGGTTGTCATAGGGCTCCAATGAGGCAATAATATATGTGGTTTGCAAACTCTGAATGCCAAGTGTCAAGACCCTCCTGCGGGTACCAGAGTTTCAATGTATAAGTGATTAGGGGAATGCTCCCACGGGACCAAGCATCGAGAGGACTGGGTGCTAATCTCAGCTGGGTTATGAACATCAAGCAGGATCCTGACTTTGCTGAGCCTCAGTTACCACCTCAATTGTCAGATGGGTCACTGTCCGGAGTAAATGAGGTGAAGTGGTGAAAGCACCCCTGGGTGTCAGTTCTTTTTTGTTTTTAATTTAATTGTTTCTTTTCAGGGGAGGAGGAATAGCAGTACGGGGGATTGAACCCAGGACCCTGTGTATGTTAAGAACGCGCTCTACCACTGAGCTAAACCCGCACCCACCCGCAGGTATCAGTTCATACTTAATACAAGCTAGTTATTAGTTTTTGCTACATCTTTAATCCTAATGGGTAAAAAAATTAAGTTTAGGTATATGTCATATATAATATAACTTATAGTCTCATGATTCACTTGTCTGTGCCTCAGTTTCCCCATCTGTAAATCAGGAATAAAAACTATCCATTTCATTGGGTGAAGGTGGAGTTAATACGTGTACATATGTAAAGCACTCAGAAGGGTGCCTGGCGCGAAGTAAGTGGTCTCTGAATGTTCCCGTATTTCACATATGCTTATTCTACTCACATGAAAGTACCCTGGAAAATGGTGTCTGGAGCAGTTCCTCACCGAGAAGTCCACGTAGTAATTGGTTCTCTCTCCTCCTCTCTGGAACAAATTGGATCAAAGCCATTTCAGGAACGTGAAAAGTTAAAAAAAAAAAAAGCAGTAGATACCTACTGTCCAATATACTGTAAAGCACCATGAGAATTCAAAATCCCCAGTATGAGCCATTTTTCTTATATCCTCTGCCTTTTACAAATTTGTCACAAGAGTGATAGGTAAGGTGAATACTATTTCACTGAAAAGGTGAAACAATACAGATGTAATCAAGCACAGTGTGAAAAAAAATCGTCCTTCCTGCACCCCAACCCCTCCTTCTCAGAGGTACCACTGTCACCCATTTGATGTGGGTTTCTCCTTCCAGCGTTTTCCTGTTTGTTGCCCACACACAGATGTACCTAATTATTTAATACGAATGGGCTCATAGTCTAAGTATTGTTCTACAGCCTGCTTTTTCCTTTAGCAACGTATCTTGAAACTCTTTCCAGTGCATATACCTCCAAAACATGGTTTTTAAGAGTTGCATTGTATTCATTCCATTGCTTGTAGGCACCATGCTCTATTTAACTTTGTGTTTTCAAAATGCATGACAGACATCAACTAACTGCGCTACGAGACGACTCTGGGTGGGACGCACTCAGGTCCCTGGACTGGGAGCAGAACTGTCTAGCTCCAGTCACACCGCCGGCTGAGGGAGATAGGAGCTCTGAGCCTCGGTTTTCCATCATAATACAAGGAGGTTCAGACCAGATGATTTTAATGACTCATCACCCTATTACGCACTTCTGTCTTGCCCTCTTTCTTATTTGGGTTTTCCCTTTTCTCTGTTAGATATTCACACCTCCCTACAACTCCAAAAACTGAGGGCAGTCCTGTCAGTGGAGGCTGCAACAGGGGTCTCTATTCAAAAGGCAGCTGCTGAGTGAGGCCAGCGGGAGGGTCGGTGCTGCTAAGTCTCCACCGCTGGGTTGGAGCCTGGGCCCTCAGACTCTAGCTAAACCTGAGTGGGGACTCACCGCTCTTGAAACTCTCTTCACTTGGTCCACTCTGAAAGAGGCAAAGTCACTATTCTCCTTTTTGTACTTCTCCAGAGCTTTGTCAGCTTCTTCTCTGTAGAGCTCAGTATCCTCAAAGAAATCGAAGAGTACTGGACTGTCTTTAGTGTTGGCCAGCGCCGAGGAGACTGGAGAAAGAAGGTGGCAGCTTTGCAGTTACTGGGTTGGAAGCAGCAATACGGACACTGGGACTTAATATTTATAAACAAGGTTGCGAGAATAACAATAGCTTCCATTTTACAGATGAACAAATTGAGGGTTAGAAAAAGCTAAGTATCTTGTCCAAGATCAAATCAGCCAATCAGCAGCAGCACTAAACTTAAACCCAGATCCTTCCGATGGTCAAGTGTCTCTTGTGACCTCTATCGTGATGCCCCCCAATACTCAAAATGTTAATATTTTAGTGAACTCTTCGTGTTCAAGCCAAACAGAGAGAGGCATCGTGAAGATAAAGTTTTGCCCTAGAGAGAGAGGGGGGACACAGCTCAATCTTTCTTTAAGGCAACCTCCTGAGGGAGTTGCATGGCTGTTGAATTTTTGTATATTGAACCATGTTAAGACTTACTAGTGTAAAAGGAGTTCTGTGATAATTCTTTTTGAAAAAGTAAATTAAAAGGGCATGGAATTTAGAGTCCACACTAATGGAATAGTCCAGCCACACTTTGACTGTGTTTCCGAGGTCAGGTCATTGAATCTCTCTGAGCCTCAGTTATTTTATCTCTAAAACAGAAAGTATCATAATCTTTACTTCATAGTCTTGTGAGAATAAATGAGATACCATATGTACAACTTTCATCCTGAAGTCAATACTTGGGAGCTAAGTGTTTTGCCAAGTGTATTACATAGACCTTATTTCATTCTGAGAAGTACCCGAAGGGATAATGCTATTATGAACTTCATTTCACAAAGGAGGAAAGCTTGACGTGGTTAAGTAACGTGCCCTCAAGACCACACACCTCGTAAGTAATGAGGTCGGGATTAAAATGCACATGGATCTGACCCCAGCGCCTCCGTTCTCTACCATGATGCCTCAGAGCCTCTTGCAAATTTCTACTTTCATATATTGAATTTATTTAAAGGAAGCTATGCCAGTAACAGGGGAAATCCTTCTCCTTTCTGTCCTCAAGAGAGCAAGCAATAACTGAGTCCATAAGGGCAGGAAGATTCCTGATCTGCATGTCACAGTCTTCTATGAGGAACACCACTGTGTGACTGAGTCTTATATTAATTTAGAATTAATTGGAGTTTTAACAGATGACCATACCAGAACTTGTGGTGCAGTTAAAGTCATTCACTCTGAGATCCTGAGATTCATCCAAACATGTTGTAGCTATCACCTTACACTGTCCGATCACCTGTAAGAAAGAGGGGCCTGGGTTACTGCATCCTGCTTTCCTCAGGCTGAATATGAGCGAACAAAACAGTGAGGCAGCAACAGGTCCCGCTGTACAGCACAGGGAACTGTAGTCAACGGCTTGAAGTAACTTGTAATGAGAAAGAACACACAAAATATATATATATATATATATGTATGTATAACTGAATCACTATGCTGGACACCAGAAACTAATACAATATTATAACTCCTCTATACTTCAATTAAAGAAATGTTTAAAAAAAAAAACAAACAAGCTAATACCACCAATGTTCATAGTAGCATTATTCACAAGTAACAAAAAAGTGGAAAATACACAAATGTCCATTAACAAAAGAATGGATAAACACGATATGATATGTCCATAAAATGGAAGATTATTCTGACATAAAAGGAATGAAGTTGACAATTGTTCCAACACAGATGAACCTTGGAAACCTTATGCTAAATGAAAGAAGGCAGACACAAAAGGCCACATGTTGTGTGATTCCGGTTACATGGAATGTCCAGAATAGGCAAATCCATGGAGGCAGAAAGCAGATTACTGGTTGCAGAGGATGGAGGGAGAGGTCGATGAAGAGGACTACTTATGGGAGGGTTTCTTTCTAGGGTGGTGAAAATGGAGTGCGATTACATAGTAGTGACAGTCAAACAACTCTGTGAATATACGAAAAACCGTTCAATTGTACACTTTACAAGGGTGAATTTAATGGTGTATGAACTGTATCTATAAAGCTGTTTTTATGAGCTAATATTAAAATTTAAATTGCATGATGTGAGAAAAAAATGAGGCAACATACTCCTACTATCCATTTAAAATTTATTTGTACTCCTCTCACCAAATCCTCTCTCGAAAACCTGTATTTTCTTGGTATGTTTCCGCGAGCTGGATGCTATAAGCATCCAAACCCTCAGGAGGACCATGGAGAAACTGTTAAAATAGATCACGGCCATATCCCATTTTCAAGAGGAAAAAATGCTCACACTCCTGGGTATGTAAACGTCTTATTTTCCAGAACTGAAACCTGATGTAAGGTTTCATCGTGTGCCCTCCTCCTGTGGCAGAGAGCCTGGGATCCGAGTACCCACGTGCAGCGTGCAGAACAAGACCCTATTCCTCGTGCTGACTGCAACTAAGCCCTTTGGTCATTTGTGTGAGTGGGACCAGTATTCATAGGACACAGTTAAAAGTTCATAAGTTCCTAGACGTTAGGTGATTTGTCCACGGTCTCACAGCTGGTTGTGCTATCGCAAGGGACCACAAACCCCACTGACTTATCTTGAACTGAGTTCCCAGGGATGGCTCTCAAGAAATATTACTGCAGGTTAACAGAGTCTTCATGAGTCAAGGGCAGAAGCTGCTCTTACTCTTTTACTTGGTAGCCCCGGTGTGTGGCTGCCCTGGGCGAGCAGAACAGACAGAAGTCAAGAACGCTAAGAGGAAGAGAACTGTACCTGGTTTACTTACTATGTCAGATGGACGTCTAGAAAAATCTAGCTCACAGTCATCCCAGTGTTTCCTGCTTAGGACCGGGCAGTCAGATTCTTTCACATCCAAGACTAAATAATAGACCGCTACGGATTCCTGGGAAACGCCAAGAAAACAGTGGGTGAGTGGCACGTGGGAGCCCAGAGCTTTTTCAATAAAAACAATCTCTTTATTTCTTAAATGGAGTTCCTGCTCCTCTGCAAGTCACTGCATACGTCCTACCTTTGTGTCATTTGATCTGTTTATGTAAATAAAAAGTTCAAAGTGTTACTTCCAAATGTTCTGTTTAACTGGTCACGATGTTGCTTCTGCCCTTCAATTTTTTTTTTTTGAGAGAGGGGGCTTGATTTTATTTATTTTATTTTTTGTTGATTTTTGTGGGGGGAGGTAATTGAGTTATTTTTGGAGGAGGAACTGGGGATTGAACCCAGGCCCTCATGTATGCTAAGCATGCGCTCTACCACTTGATCTATCCCCTCCCCCTGCCCATGAATTTCCAAAAGCCGTCACTACAAAGCAGTGTTGGTTTGGACGGAGGTGTTGAAGGTACCAGCCTAGAATGTGTGATGGCAGTCACGTCATGGCCTCCAGTCTGGGTGTGCGGTTGTATCCTCTCAAGCAGCTCTATTCCTGAACTTGGATTTCTTGCCTTGATTTCAACTTGCCCAAAGCTAAATTCACCCTCTTCTCTTACAAACCAACTCCCCCCTTCAACTTCCCTTGTCTGGTCCGTGACACCATTATATTTATTGCTTCTTCTTCGTCTTTAGCTTTGGCTTAGTCTTTAAAGACTATCCGGTCACCAGACCTTAAATGGTCTTTCTTTGAAACATCTCTTGTCTTTTCTTCACTCTCATTGCCCCAATTCCCATTGCCCGGGGCTGGTCCTCATGTCCTCGTTCCTGAACACGTGAAGTAGCTCCTAGTTTGTGTCCCTGCCACCTGCCTCCATCTCCCTAGGCACACGGTGAGCCCTCTCACCCACCCTCCAAATTCCCACTCAGAGGTAGCACTATGCCAATTCATCCAGTGATGGAGAGCCTGGAATGGGACTGACGGTCACTAAATTGTTAGTTGAATCCTGAATTCCTTCACTCTTGTTCTCTGCAAACTTTCATGCCTCTCTCTCTCTAACAGTTTAGCAAGTATAAATGTCTCTGCTTGTCCTCTTTGGTGCCCCATGGTCTACCCTCCCTGATTTCAGTGGTCCTACCAAAGGGTAGGTTATTTTTTGAGGCGATGGAGAGGGAAGTCTCCCTGCATAATATCCATCAAGCCCTCAAATCCACTCCAAAATGAGCATATAATTTAAGTGGAAAGAACAGGCTTGCTCTCTTCAAGATAAGCCTACAGTCTCTCTTCCAAGATGATGGCTGCTCCCAAGCTCGCAGAGAGACCCCCTGCTTCTGTTCAATTGGTCCCTAACACCTTCCTTCCTGATTCCCTCCCCACACAGAGGCAGTATGCCTGGAATTCTTCTGGGATGCCGTTACCCAGGCCATCGTCCTATTCAGATCCTGCTCATTCCTCAGGACCCAGTTGAAGCCCTCTCCCATCCCATCTTAATAGATCTCCTTTCATCAGATCATTCCAGCATCTATACCACTCACTCGGTCACTTGAAGACATCCTGTCTTACACAGTTCACCTACGTGTGCATGTGAGCCACTTAGTATTTCCTTGAGAGCAAGGCCCATGGTTTATTCTAATCTTTCTCTTTTAAGGGCTTAGCATTTGATTGGGCTCCACAGAAGTGCTTATAAGTACTTACAGGCTGGTTCAGAGTTAAGGACATACTAATGCCAAACATTAGTTTGAGGGGAAAAAGAACAGTTAGAGCAACTCGGAAATGAAACAGACAGCCCTGACCAAAGCCAGTCCACTGTGCAAAGTGACAGGCTCAGGGACCAGAGTCATTTTGCTCCTGGTGCGTCACCTCCCGCTCAGCCCTGCCAGGGGCCATTCCTCACCGCTTTGTCCAAGTGGGCATCAGCAACCCGCAGCAACTGGAAGAGGTAACCATCCCGTCGTCCTTTATTGACCAGGTCTAGAGCCTTCCGAGCCACAGGCTCAGCATCATTGCAGTCTGTGGGACTCACAGCGGAGGAACACCGCAGAGTGACCAGCAGGACCAAAGGCAGTGCTGCAGGGAGTAACTTCATGTTGTTAAAATGGGAAAACCATCCCTTGCTCTGCGATACCACAGCAGAGACGTTTATACAGATTTTCCAAAACATACACACACACACACACACACACACACACACAATTGTTTAAACAAAGTATTTCAACGTTTTTGTTGTATAACCGGGGATGTTCACCTTGACCCCTGGTTAAAGTATCTGTCAACATGCTGTGAATGATTACTAGGTCCTGGGAACAGAAAGGTGAGACATGCCACCGGAGAGTGGCTAAAACTGGGATCTGCACTGATCTGGATGTTTCTAGTAGGTAGCAGATCCAAAGTGTGTTTTTGACCACAAGCACTGCCTGCATTAGTGTGGGAGGTGGAGTTAGAAATAATTTTCCTTCATCTGCCAACCAGAAATTGCCACCATCATTCTGCTCTTTGCACTGTGGCACTGAAAGTCCTCGGTAGAATGTAGCTGCGTTATTTAAGGGAGGTAACATGTTAAATGGTTAACACTATCAGAGGAACTGAGTTCAGGGAGAATAAAATGATGACAAGAAATGTGGCTTTGAAGTCAGATCTGAATTTCAACCCTGGGTCTGTTACTCTTAACTGTGTGAGGCTGAGTAAGCTATAAAACTTCTCTGATTCTTAGCTTCCTCATTTATAAAACAGGGACTAATATCTCTTGGCAAGATTGTGGGGTCATTAAGTAAGAAAACACATAAAGTAACCAATACAAATCTTCGCACAGATTCAGGTGCTAAACAAATAATGCTGTTTTATTATTATAATTAGTGCGCCTGAGAAGAAGTTGGGGACACGCTTATGTCACTGCAGCTTTTTGTGACCCTTAAAGCATGTGAAAGAGAATTACTTCACATGGAAGACGTGGTGAGGGTAGGAGTTAAGCCATTTGAGGCCCATCCCAGAGAAGGGGTTGGGGGAGGGGCTCAGCACTGGGCGACAGGGCTGGGGTTAAGCTGATCCCCCACCTCCTCCTCTCCTAGAACACCAATACACCTGCAAGGACCCCTCATACCAGCAAAGCCCAGTGACACCAGAAAGGGCCAGTGGGAATCAGCCCAATTGTCTCCTCACTACCAGGGATTTAAGCAGCATCTGCCTTCTCCCCAGTTTCTTCTCTGCAATGAATGTATGGCGGGGGTTGGTATAGCTCAGTGGTAAAGCACGGGCTTAGCATGCATGAGGTTCTGGGTTCGATTCCCAGGACCTCCATTAAAAAAAATTTTTTTTAAGTCCTATGGTAATAGTTCTCAGCCTTGGAGTCATACTGGAATCATCTGAGGAGCTTTTCAAAATCTTTATGTTCAGGTCTCCCCAGAGCAATTAAATCAGGATCTCAGGGTGTGGACCCAGGTATTGGTAGTTTTTCCAATGTGCAGCCAAGGCTGGGAATTAGTGGGGGTCTAGATAGAACCTGAAGGGAGGAGAAGAGTTTGAGCAAGAAGCCGTGGGGAGGGCTATAGGAAAAGCAGACCTCATTTCCCCTAGTCACAGGCTGGTATAGCAAGTGTTCAAATGTGGGAAAAACCTATTTTGACTTATATTTGAAATTGAACTTTTAGTGTTAGTAACACTAGCTTTTAAGTAGCCAAACAGGATGGCTTCAGTGTAATTTCAAATGCCAGGAACAGTATGGAATCTGGCCAAGGTGTTACTACAGGGCTTTAACCCAGGGGGCGCAGGGGTAAGCCATTAATTAGAACCAAAGTGTTTTATGTTTCAATGAGTTGAGCTCCTTAATTGGGCTTTTCTATTATGGCTATCCCCCATATGGAGTGCCCTGGGTAGCCAAATGCTGCTGGAGGGAAAGAGAATGGAATGCTGAGGGGATGGGGAAAGGCACCAGTGGTGAGAATCAGCTTCTACACACTGTTTGGCTGAAACCAAGGGGTATTCATGAAAGCCATGCATCCTCTTCCCTTTACACTGTGTTTCTTGCTAGATCCTGGTTGAAAGAGGGTCTAAGACTCCACATGGCACCCCTACTTAATCATGTTTCCTCCTTACAGGGGGCAGAGGAGAGTACTAGAGTGTGAATATTGTCTACCGCTCTTACACAAGTTATACCAAGGCCTGTGTGCCTCTTCTGAGAACCAGCTGCCAGGAGGGCGGACAACAGTTACCTCTGCAAGCTCCCTGCTGTATGCATTTGCTGGGGCTTCCAAAACAAAGGGAACCAGGTGGCTTCTACAACAGAAGTTAATTTCCTCACAACTCTAGAAACTAAGAGTCCGAGATCAAGGTGTCAGAGGACTGGCGTTTTCTGAGGCCTTGCTCCTTGGCATGTCCATGGCCATCTTCTCTCTGTCCCCACATGATTTCCCCTCTGTGCTAGCCTGTATCCTTATCTCTTCTTATAAGGACGTGTGTCATACTGACTTAGGCATTTTAACCTAATCGCCTCTTTATAGACCGTAACCCCAAGGTGGGGAGGGTGTAGAGCAAATGGTAGAGTGCATGCTTAGCATGCACAAGGTCCTGGGTTCAATCCCTAGTACCTCCTCTAAAAAATAAATAAATAAACCTAATTACCTCCTCCCCACTGCCAAAAAGAGAAAAATCAGTTAAAAAAAAAAAGACCCTGTCTCCAATACAGTCACCTTCTGAGGTTCTAGGGATCAGGACTTCAGTATGAGAACATTGAGGGGACACAGTACAGCCCACAACACCTGTCAAACTTCAAAAGATGTGTATGTCTGTGTATGTATCTATATACATACATATGCATGTGTGTATATATGTGATGTACATACATATTATATAGCTTATATAATTTTTAAGTGAAAAATTGGGAATATGTGTTATCTGGGCCCTTAATTTCTGCTCTGAGAAAAACTTTTAAAGGAGTCAGAGAGTTCCCAAACTTAGAACAACATTTAGTTCTCCCCAGGTTTAACCACAGGCTACAGGCAAATGTCACTTCCACCTACCCCATCACTGAATTTATCAAGTTCTGGGGCTTGGAGATTATTCAGATGGGTAAGAAAAAAAAATTTCCACCTACAAGTTGAAGGTTATATAGGCAGTATCTGACTAATACTTGGTGTTGAAATAATTATGGTATAAAGGGAGAGTGAAACTCTCCTGACTCCCAAACCTTCAATTTTCATCTTATTTGATCAAAAGAATCACAGTGTTTGCCCAATGTGAAAAATTAACAGAAATCTGTTACATAAGGTTGGGAGACTAGAAGGGGGAGCTCACACCTGTGACATTTGCAGAACCCAAACAGGAAAAGAAAGACTTCTTTCCTTCCATTGTGCAGAACTTTTGAAATTCACAAACTTAATTTCCTTAAAACTGAACTGGATTACAATAGCTCAAACATTTCCAGAACTGAGTGGGAATGTTTTTTTTCGATTGGTATTTTGAGGCTTCCCAACTGTTATCAGGAGTCTAAAATTGCCTCTCTGCAAAATTAGATTTTAAGATTAACTGAGGTAAACAAATGATGAAAGAAACATAAACTGGCTCCTGAAGCCCGAGGCTCTTCTCCCTCGGCTTAGTCATCTCAGCCTCTGCCTCTGGCTCCTTCTTCCTTTCCTTCTACAGTGCCCGTGCCTCCACTGTACCCTCCAACCCCTCCCACCAATTCTCCCATCAAACTTCCCCCGTTCTCTGAAACTCTCCCCACTCCCTTTTCCTCTGAACTTGACAGAATCTGTCTTTCTAAAATTAAGCCTTCTGAGGATCCAGAGGCTAAACCCTTAATTTCTTATATTCCCTGGACTAATGCTGATCTGTGAGCCATAGTCAAAGGCTTTACCCAAGTAACCAAAGATCCTCTCAGATGTGCTGAGGAATTTAATATAGTCATTCAAACTTATCGACCTGGTTTCTCAGACTTACATCAGCTAGTTCATACAATTGCCCGCAAGGGCTAGGCCCAGCATTAGATGAAAACCGCTAATTGGAAAGTCCTGAAATGTCTAGAATTACAGCCGGGAGACCAGCCCGCTAATTTACTATGTGATCAGGCAGTCACTAGGTGGTTTCATTAAGCAATTCCTGGTGCTTTTCCAAAGCCCGCTGATTGGAACAAAATTCAGGCTTGCACACAAAACTTTGGTGAACCTGTCCACGACTATTACAGTAGACTTCAGATTGTTTTTAAAGAAAACTCTGGTCTTCCTTCAGATGTTGATTCCACCCAGGTAGCTTTTAACTCTCTGTTTATTAATGGGCTGAGCCAGGACCTTCCCCTTCTAGTAAAAAGGACCGGATAGAAGGCAAAACTGTGTCTGCTGAGATTTAGTGAATCTGGTAAACTAGCTCTCTGGTGCTCCAGATGAGCCGCCTCCAAGGAAGACAGCCAAATCTTAATCTTCAACTCCAGCAAATAAGGTTCTAAACAAACCTCAAACCTGCCTACATTGTGCTATTATTGCAAAGAGCCAGGACACTGGAAAGGAGATTGTTACAAATTTAAGTGCTTTAGGTGCCTTCAGCCTCTAACCAGCCTTTCTAACATCCTCCCAATTCTCAGTGATGGAGCGCTGAGGAATTACAGGGACTCTTCCAATCCTCCCTCTTAATTGCCTTGGAGAAACATTTCTCCAGATTGGGGATGAACCTTTTCTAGTCCTAAGTGACACTAGAGCCATACTCTTTGTGCTCAACCCCCAATACTATAAACAGGCCCTGCTTGGAGTACTAAAACTGTTCAATAGTGGGGACTCTCCAACCAACCTCAGGGGGTTCCTGTCTCTGAGCTCATTCCATTTTGTTTAGGCCTTTTGAGAGATCCCCACACTCTTCTCCTTAGTTCCTCTGCCCTTATTTAGTTATTAGGCTGAGACTTCTTAGAGAAGTCTCACGCCTGAATGTCTTTCTCCCCAAAGTGGGAACTAATTCTAGAAAATTCACAGTCATTGTCAAAGTAACCCACCAGGTGAATTAAATGATCCTTTGACATCTTTGATTTGTTCCATCTCTGACAGTTCTAGAGCAGATTCTGGAAACACTGATCATGTGTCCCTAATGAACCAGCTACCACTACCCTTGGGCAAAATCTGCAACTGATGATGACACAAAATTCACGGTGTACTTCCCATCAAGATTCAAATAGATCCCT